ATGTATTATATTGCAGTTTGTTAAGTGAAAGAAAATAAACCAGAAAGCACAATATTAGAATATAAAACCAAAGCCGTTAGACAACAAAAGACAATTGCAGGATCTTGTTGTTACTGGGATTATGTTTGTTGTCTAACGGGCTTTGTTCTAAGATTCCAATATTGAAAATGAGTGACTCAGGTGACATAGAACACAATTATTAATGAATATTGTGCTTTGCGGCAGATATTCATTCATTAAACAAACTGCAATATAAAAACACGTACATTATCATTCCTCTAGAGGTTAGATTGAAACCGGTCCTTCGGATGAGACCGTATATTAACCGCGAGGTCCCGTGTCGCAGTAGGTGCTGGCGCAAAGAAGATCCCTCACTGCGAGTATAGGATAAAATTTGCAGCTCTCCACCGGCAAGTGTTGACGTCTCCATATGAGTGAAAAATACTCAAGATGGACGCTAAACAACACACAAACAAAGAAAACAAAACATAAAATCTGCCAGAAAGGACATCATTATTATAGTATACATGTATTTATCATTGGTCAATACAGTCTTAGCTTTTTGCCGTTCATTACTACTTTGTAGACACTGGATAGAAAATGCTCCAAATAATAGATTATCTATTTATTACATCTGTATGTTCAAATTAACACACATTACTTATTAAATCATCCGTAGGAATGCTCACTTATAATAATTTACTAGGATTTCGTTAATTTGTTTGGAATTAATTGTGATTTAAAGATAAAGTGCGAATCTGGTTCTGCTCTTACATTGTTCTAACAAAAAAAACGCCAAGATATTGTTGAACTATTAATTCATGTAAAATCAGCTGAATGTTGATATTGTGAAAACAGCATAGAAAATTTTCACTTTTTAAAGTCTCAAAAGATGTTAAATGATCCTTCCTAACCAGTCAATGATGAATCCAATGTTACAGCCTAATAGACAGTGCATGAAAAGCCTCAAAATTTCCAATTTCAGCCTTAACGCTATTTTGTACAGCAAATTTATTTTGTCAACAACGCAGAGTTGAATGGTGATATTGTTTATTTCGCGATTTAGAAAAGATCACTACATATAATTTCAACAATCCTTGGCAATAAGACAGTGGTGTACACATGGCATCAAAAATGCCATATCATCACTTATTTCGAACAAATTGGCCTAGATCAAAAACTGAAATGTTAAAGAATAAAAATGAGATATCCCAAGCTTTTAGACCTATTTGAGCTTTGTATAATTTGCCTCCATTGTGATTTAGTAAGCGTGCAGTACCACGGTGAGTGATTTGCCTGTATACGCCATGTTGTTTGTGTTAATTACAGATCTTGGTACCCCTGTAGAACGTAAGTTCTTTAACTCAATCAAACCTGCACACATTTATCTGTTTTTACATGTCTCCTGTGTAAGAGTTTGTTTTTAAAATATAATACTGAAGAAAAAAATGTGTGTTAAGACCAGTAGGGAAAAAAATGATTAAAGCATACAACTGTATATACGAAGTACAGCAAAACTGATGTAATTTATTAATAATAAATAAAATAAATTAAAATTATTAAGTTAGAAACAAGTTTGATTTATGAGTTCTGTTGATTAAGCAAAATAAAAATAGAAGATGAACAGCAACAATCAACAGAGAATTTGTTGAAAAACTGCCAAGTTAAAGAATTCGAGAGTCATTTCAATGAGAAATTCGTTACTGCAATGTAACACATGATTAGATCATCAGTGAAACAAAATGAAGACAAAAATGGTCTTTTAGAGGACCCACAAAATCATTTGATACTTTTTAAACTAAAGGCAATGAAGTGAATGTCCATAGCATGTCTTATTGCATGAATGTCTACCGTATATTTTTAACTACTTTTATAGTGTACATGTAACATGTATTTGTGCCAGCTTTTGTTGTCTTTTGTTTGATTTGCCATTATGCTTGTATATAGATGTTGAATTTATTTCCATATTAAACCAATCTCTTGTAAAGAATTGAGTAATTAAGAATAATTATTAAGAATAATTAAGTATAAAAAATATCCATCATAGTCAATGTAGCAGAAAACCTCAACTTAACAGACACCCCTTAAAGTACAAGTCATGAGAGATTTTAACCACAAATGTTTTGAAATATTGCCTTTTTTTTTTTTTTAAATTCCTTCTCTCTTCTTTATGAATATTTGTCTTTTTTATTGCTGATATACATGTATAGTAGGAATCCATACTATTGTATCGGAGATATTTCCAAAAACCCAAAATTTTCTGAAAAAGGAAAGGAACACACATGGAAAGAAAATTACCGTAGATACTGTATTGCCATATCATGTCATGCACATATCAATTTTTTAAATTATTTTTTTTAGATTATCTATTGAATAATTTAAGTCACAACTTACCATGGGGTGCTTAACGAAAGTCAAATGATCTGTTCTGAAGTGAGGGTGCCACCTGTACCCTTGGTCCCCCTTTAACAGACAGGTCCTCACCTGACAGAATGAATATTTTTCTTTTTTTTCTGTATTTTAACATTTCCAAGAACCCAAAATTTTCTGACAAAGGAAAGGAACGCACATTATGGCACATAAGAAGAAAAATATATATTGCCACGTATCTTTTAGTTTATTACTTTTTCTATAGATTATCTTTTGAATAATCTAAGTCACAGCTTACCATGAAGTACCTAACCAAAGTCGAATTTTCTGATCTGAATTGAGGGTGCCAGCTGTTGCCCTTGGTTCCCTTTAACAAACAGGTCCTCACCAGCCAGAATGAATATTTCTTTTTCTTTTTTTCTGTATTTTGAGTTTATCAATCACTGTATTTAAGGCCCTGCTGTCTTGCACGAACTGCTGGATGAGATTAACAAAAAAGTGAGAGCACTGGAAAACAAGTACCAAGAGAAAATAAAGGCGGCAGGCATCGTAAGTAAAGTTATTTCTCAGGAAATATTTTGAATACATTTTCCTTTATATCGGATTATTTTCATGCAATGAAATACGAAGATAACAAACAGTAATCAAGCTCAAACGTCCATTGGAACGATACAAAATAAGAGCAGCGCACACATCAGAGGTGGGATCAGGTGCCATGGTGGAGTAAGCATCCCCTGTCTACCTCCAGAGTGTTATTTAGCTTTAGAAAGAGAGGAATATGCAATCACCTTAATTGAACATCAGAGAAGGGTTTGGTTATTTAATGATCATTTGCAGAGAGAAACACTTAAAAAAGACGAAACTGCTATTTTGTAGAACTTTCCATAATATGTCTTTATTGCATGGAGAAATAAACTTTAGAAATCCTTCAAATTAAAGATTAGCCAATTAAAAAATTACAGATTAGCCAATTAAAAGCACCTGGACAGTTATTTTTGTGCAATGGAGGAAGAGTGCTGTAGTAATTTATGATAGATTCATCCCTTATTTTTGCATATACAAGGGTCATTTTGTTTTGAATCCCACAGAAATTGGGAAAATTTGTGACCAAACAGGGGGGACCAGGAGAAGCGATTGTAGCCGTGGCGGACAAGGAGAAGGCCAATATGATAGTGACTGGTTGTCGAGGGATGGGCAAAATAAGGCGGACATTTCTGGGCAGTGTCAGTGATTACGTCATTCATCATGCCCATTGTCCTGTCCTTGTGTGCCGGAAGTGAACAGCAATGAAGATTAGATCTTAACCAACAATCGTATTACCTTATCTCGTCAATATTTGGTTCTCTTATTATAATATTTACTCTTTTTGTCTTTTAAACTGTTTATTGTAGATTACAAATATTTACTCGGTTGAAATTCATGTATTATATAGTGAAATTCATATATTTATTTACTATTGTTATAAAATAAATACAAGTATGTTAGTTAAAATTAATTATCAGCAAAAAATACAGATAACTTATTAATACTACAGAAATGTGTATTATCAGAAAACATACCTCGGTGTCATGTTGACAGTACAGCATGGAGACTTAACTATGTTCATAAAAGACAATTATCATATATGTTTTCATTTTCCTGTGTTATGAAAAAAGATGTAATAAAGTCTTGAAACGTTTTATTTTCATTCTGTTAAATACTTTTATAAGAAGAATAATCCAACGAATTTTTAAAGATTTTTTTTTGACATAAAAAATAAGTTCAATAAACACCTGTACTTCTCTCAGTTATTTGTTTATACATACTAGTATTGCTGATTGCTGTATTTTTTAAAATGTTATTATTTTATCGAAAAATTATTTGTAAAACCACTGGACTGTGCTTTTGCATGAGATATGAAGTAAACGAAATTTAAACGAAAAATTAAAATTTTAATGCCACATATTTACAGAATTAAAAGTGTATGATTTATAAAATGTCTGTTATAAACGCTTAAAACGAAGCTGATGCTTTTAATTTGTTGAATTTATGCATGTTTAAATTTTGTACTGCATGATTATTATTATTATTTTTGGGGCTTTTGGTGGCTTTTTAAGTTAAACAATCACATATGTTGTAACGCTTGGGTCTTTTTAAAGCACTTCTTGTGTGTTGTCAAAATGCACAGTATATGACAAGAACAAAAGTATTTAAAAAGTAAAAAAGTAAGAAATATGACATATAAATGTAAAATTATTTATGAAGAATTGTTCAAGAGAAAGATAAACTGGAATAAATGAATTGAATTTCTGAGTTCTTTGTCTGTTAGCTGTAATTGTTTTTAAGACCCTCACCGTGAACTGTTGGAGGAGGTGAGACATAAAGTGGAGGCTCTGGAAGCCAAATATAACAAGAAAATAGAGAAAATGGGCATCGTAAGTACACAGTTTTATGTTCCAAGTTAAATTATTGTATAGCATGTATAAAGTTTGATATGCAGACCTCCCCTTGTCAAAAGTTGGAATTCATTGGTTGCTAGCGATGATGAAAAACCTTTGAGGGATTTCAGTTACAGTGAAATTAACCCTATTTCTTGTCGTTTAACTTTCTTTTTTTGCCTCAATTCTTATTCTTTCATCAAAGTTCTAAAAATCTTACCTCCTGGAAGATAAAAATTATTGTATCAAAAATAAAAACATACCTCAATGAGAATTGAACTTGGGTCAAGAGAAAAGCAGACATACTGTTCATTAGTAAGACTTGAATCTTTAAGTTTTAGGAAAGTTTTGACTTTATTCCCTTCCTCCTTGCAGACTTCTTTAAATTCTGCAAAAAAGTCAAGTCAAATAGGTAGAGTATTTGAATTAGAAAGAAAAAAGCTTAGGGAATAAATAGAAGGATGAACCTTGACATTTTAACCTTAAAAGGGGCCTTTCTTCAGATAGGACGGTTTCGTCCATTTTTGCATTGCAAAAGCACAAATACCTAAAGCTATCTGGACATAATTTCATACAATATATGAATTTTTGACCTTTCGACATCAAAATCAAAAAGGGTCTTCTAAAAGTTATGATTTCATTAAAATGCCACAGAAAATTTGAATTTGAATTTCCAGACAATATGTCTGGAAATTCAAATTTTATTTTTAAGTATACGTGCGTACGCTTTTATAGAAAGCTTTTTTCATTAAAAAAATCTTTTTTTTAAATGATTATACATGTACGTCTTAGGAAAGGAAACTTAATTCATATAAGGAACAGTATTTAAGTATAATAAATACATGTTAACTGTTGAGTTCTCCAATTCTCCCTCTCAGAAATCGGCAAAATTCCTAAAAAGACACGGGGATCCAGGGGAGGCCATTGTCCATGTGGCGGAGAAGGAACATGCTAATTTGATAGTGACCGGATGTCGTGGTATGGGCTTGCTCAGGCGCACTTTCATGGGAAGTGTGAGTGACTACGTCATGCATCATGCAAGTTGCCCTGTCCTGGTGTGCCGGAAGTGAATTCAAAATTGTACATTCCATGTCCACAACGAATGGCAATTTTTAATGCTCATATTGAAAATAAGCACAACACTATTAATCTGCCTCAACAGCAAACTGCTATTGATTGTGTGTATATTTCATTTCTTCATGTGAATTTATTCATTTTACATTTTTGGTGTTGTCATTTATGAATATCTGCAAACAATGAAAGTAAAAACGTTGGAATAGACAAATATAATTATAAATGTTGTGAACAATCAAAATTTTATCTTATGATTACAAACCTAGTTGGAGATCTACATCTTGAAAATATTCCATTGGATAAGAATTTTCAGTATCCTCAAAGAGGACAACAATACATGAAGGAAAAATCTTGAAAAAATATGTATGTCTTTTTTAAAACTGTTTAAATTCTTTTATTTGTAAAAAATTAAATAAATATTTGATAAAAGAAAGTGACTAGGTTTTCATTGCACAATATTTTTGCGCATTTTCGATAATGACAGTGTATTTAATGTTTTTACACTTAACGGAAATCTAACAACAAAACTTTATGATAAACTTGCTGACTTCAAATTTGCTATCGCCAATTTCCTTTATTTAAAAAAAGGTGTCCTGTTATCACCCTGCTTATGAAATCAATGTCTCCCACTTGACTCGATACACAAGAGGATTCTGTACATACGAACAATTACCGTTGTGAGATAAGCTAGCTGATGAAACAAGGATAATTTATCAACAGTCTCGCAAATTTGGCAATATCTATAGTTGGTACAACACAAGTTTAATCTTTCATTAATCCCAATGCTCACAGACGTTTTTTATCCATGGAAATTTTTAGGCCATATAAATTTTCACATTGAATTTCATAGGGAGTTTTTCCCTAATCATGACAAAGAAAACACGGCGGGATTGACCGAACGACAAGGGATGCTTATTCCTCCATGGCACCTGATTTCACCTTAAAGTTTGATGTTTTATTTTTTGCTCATAATTTTTTTCAATGGACCTGAGCTTGATTTCTATTCCTTATATTTCTTCTTTTTTCTTTATATTCCAATATATATTTTGACGTATGTTTCATACCAATTCAAACTATTGATTTAATACTAATTTTTGCTGCGGATTACTCCGTAACTTACCTGATAAATACACAGGGCTTACGCATAATATTTGGTCCGCCTCGTTTAAAGGTCCGGCCGGACCTAATACGATAACATATTAGGTCCGCCTGGCTGGGTGCAAGATCTTTTCAACACGGATCATTTAGTTACACTCTCTTTCCAATAAACATGAAAAACGTCCGACATCCACTCGCAAAAAAAATCACATCTTTCAAAATATATTTCTTTATAGTATTAATTTTAAAAAATCTGTCATTCTTTACGTTTAATATTGTTGTCAATAACTGGAGGGTCACTGTGACAGGGGCTTATGTCACGGTGTACTACCCTTTACCCGTTATTGTAAAAACAACATGCCTGTGGATTGGGCAGTTGGGGGTTAGCCTATAATTGTCTCGTTTGAGAAAACCTTAAGTACCATATCCCCTGTGTTTTTATGTTAACATTGTTTCTTAAAAATATTCAAAGGCTAATTATTATATCTACAAGATCTCTTCATTTCATTTCCTGAATTTTGCATTGCATTTTCCGACAATTTTTGTTATTTTTTCGGAATCCGACATTTTTATTTTCATTTCCGACATTATTTATTTTTTTTCTTCACATTTTTGGATTTTTTTTCAAGATACCTTTATGGCACTTTAGGGTTAACATATATAGCAAAGATGGTAATGGCTTTTTAACAGGGTATTGTATATATGTATTATATAATATTAATTATTTCAAATTACATTGTTTTCGAATCTTTTCATTACATACACTCTGTATACAATATTATGTCTCTAGTTATAAGTAAAGGAAAGAGTTAAATGAAAGTTCACAATACTTATATCTGCTCCAGGGTAAAATCAATTAAGTTTCTTTGACAGCTAAGCAAAGCCTTTTATTTGAATATCTAAAATATTTTACTTTAAGGGTTTTTATAAAGTATAATTTTTTTTTCATTGCTGAAAAAATATTGACATGAATTTGACAAATGTCGGATTTGGGGGGGGGGGGGGGGGGATTCCGGAAATCAAATGCGGCCTACTAAACATTACTCCGGGAAAGGGTAAATGTGCATTAATTGGCGAAATCAAAGCAAAGTCGATAAATTGCTAGTTTATAAATGCATTTATTAATCATATTTAATATACAGGTCGGTCATATAAAATCTCTGTTCACGGCATTAATAATATATTTATACCTATGTCTCTCGGTTAAAAAAAATCCGATCATTTTATACGCCCCTCCTTAATGTTTTTTTTTTTTTTGGGGGGGGGGGTATGGGGCGTAGTAAAATCTCGCTGCTACGTGTCAAAAAAGTTTAAAGTATTAATGAATACCAGTATCCAGTATTGTACATATATATCCCACATTTTTTTCCAGAAAAAAAGAGCTTGCGTTTAAAGCCACCCCCAATTTCAGAAGCCTGGTATACTAGAATTTCCCGTTAGCTTCTAACAAACAACCCCGACTTGATTTTCCACCAGAGAAATACTACTTCAGTACAGATTTTTAGCCAATACTTATTAAAGAGAAACTTGATACGCATACAGTTTTTTTTTTTATAAATTGAATAGAAAGTGTCTTTTAAAATCATGACGCATCAAAAACTTCGTTGTAGCTACTTGGTTTACGTTAGATTTTTCTATGACTGTAAGAGGCTATTTTGATTTCTTTGTATGTGTGTTTGTAATTAGTTTATTCTGTTGCGTTCAGACAGAAAATTTAATTCAAGAATGAATGCAGATATACAATACAGAAGACATATCCCCTGCAAAATGTACATACACTGGATCGTTAATTAAAATCATTGCATTTTTGACTTCTTGTCAGTTTAAATGAACAAAAAAAATAAAAAAAATTCAAAACAAACTACTAGTATATATCACGAACCAGAAAAAAGTTAAAGGAACTCACAGCATCATGGAACAATGATTTACAGGTATATTTAATAATAGGCGCGATTTAAGGAATTTACTCTCTCAATGTACTAGGCTCGGAACCGGGGGGGGGGCACTTTGTTTGCAAAGATAGTCATATTAATGTATATGTAGTATAATAAAAATTATAATATAATTAACCCACCTCTGGTGTACCTATTTT